ACGAGATGGCACCTGAACCAAGGCTAAAGCAGTAGCCCTGAGAGGACCTGAGTGTCTCAGCATCGTCTGCCCATGAAGTGTCTGTGTGCCCAGTAAGGACCACTGGCCTGCGTCCCTTCAGTACGAGTCCCATGTCTGATGTACTCGCTAGATAACGCAAAATCCTCTTAGCTGCCGACCAGTGCTGTGGTCGGCGTCTCCCTGTGGCCACAAAGCGAGCCAACATGCTGAGAGGATATGCGAGATCTGGACGAGTGCAAGTCATTAGTTACATGAGGCAACCCACCAGCTCTGCGTAGGGACCACTGGGCTCTACAGACTCCTCCAGAACTGGATCAGAGAGTCTGTGGTCTACTGGCAGAGGTGTGGGCTGTGCAAAGGAGAACAGAAGACCGAACCTCTGAAGGACTTGGCGCACCAAGTGTGACTGAGTCAAAGTGATGGTGCGCGCTGCTTTGTCCCTGGAGATCTGCAAGCCAAGGAAGCGGCGCAGCTCTCCTAGGTCAGTGCAGGTGTGTCTCCTCAGCAGCTCGGCCTTCACAGAGGCCAGTGCGCCTCTGTCCGCAGTAGCGAAGACAAGGTTGTCTACACAGACAAGGATGTAGAACGGATTCTGGCCAGCACGAACGAAGAGCGAGGGGTATGCAAGCGACGGGAAGAACTATAGAGCAGCCAGCGTAGCATGCAGAGTGTCGTGCCACTCACGGGGCGCCTGTCGCAGGCCGTAGTCCGGGCGCCTGAGGGGCCACTGGGTCCCAGAAAGGAAGGTACCGGTGAAGCCCTGTGGACGGCGCAGGTAGACCTGCTCGTATAGGCTGCCCTGAAGAAAAGCAGTGGAGAAGTCGAAGGAGTGGAGCTCGTAGTCACGCTGTGTTGCTACGTGTAGCAGTACCCGAAGAGTAGTCATGTTCAGGGTCGGGGCAAAGGTATGAAAGAAGTCCACACCCTCGCGCTGACTTAAGCCCCCAGCAACGTAGCGCGCCTTGAACACCGGTGGCTCTCTAAGGGGGCGCTTCACATTGAAGAGCCCCCGGCCATTGACTACGTTCACCCCAGGTGGGGGCAATGCGTCGATGTAGGTGCCGGTGGATCTCCGAGATGCCATCTCCTGCTCCATGGCCGCTATCCAATGAGAGGCCCAGGGTCGTGAGGTCGCCTCAGCGTAAGTGCAAGGGGTCGGGATGTCAAGGGCGTCTGGGTCACCCTTAGGAATAGCAGTATGGAACACAGATGGGGAGCCGCCTCAGTCAGGAAAGCGAGCTCATACTGCATGTCCTCTAGGACGTCAGTGCTAAGGGCAAGAGCACCCCCGACGGACGGAGGATGGACAGGGTCAGAGACCAGAGCAGTTGCATAGTCAAGGCGGCGGGTGAAGGCGAAGTCAGCGACAGCAGCGACAAAAGCGTCAAGACTGGAGAGAGGACACCAGCGGTAGCTGCTGCTGCTGCTGCTCGACGCCAACACCTGGACCGTTAGCTGCACCAAGGCTACCTCCGGAACACTCCACTTCAGCACCCCCAGAGCGAGAACCCTCTCCAGCACTTGTGCCACCCCCAGGTCCGCCGGGACAAGCCACGACAGGAAGCTGAGGACTAGCACCCTCCTCAATGCCAGCACCCCTAGAGTCCACGGATGGCTGCTGCTGCTGCGGCGGCGGCGGTTACTGCTGCTGCGGGTGCGACGACGGTTGCGGCTGCTGCTCTGGCGGTGACTGCAGCGGCTGCTGCGATGGCGGAGGAGGAGACACCGGGGGAGAAACATGCAGCAAGAACCGCGCCATGGGCAGTGAGCTTGTCCGTGCCAGAGGCACGAACTTGAGCAAGGCAGCCCCAGACATGGAACGTGGATGCGTCACCATGGAACCCGGTCCAAAGAAGGGTCGGCGAAACCTGCGACCGCTGGGAGTGCAGCCACAGGTTAAGCTGGTGAGCAGCGTAGCAAACAACGAGCGACCATAGAAATTGGGGTGCACCGACATGGATCATGGAGGTACGAGCCACCTCCATGACCAAACCGATGTGTCACTGCGGGGAGTCTGGTAGGGTGTACGACTGGGTGATGCCCTTTGCACGACAGAACTGTCCAAGCCGACCAGAGGCGAACTCGCCGCCACTGTTGGAGTGGAGATAAAGCACAGGGAGACCGCGGTGGAGACACGCAGCTACGACTCACAAGATAAGAACGTTAGGCACGTCGGCCTTCCGCTCCAGGGGAAACTCCGTGGTGTAGCGTGTGTAGTTGTCGACGAGCACGAGAAAGTAGCGCTCACAACGCGGCTTAGGGATGGAGGCTGGGCCCCAGACGTCCAGGTGCAGTGTCTGGAGTGGCGCAGTGGCAGGGCGAAGCGAGGAGGGATGAGGAGCACGGCGTAGCCCGCCCTCGACGGAGGGCGTGCACGGCGGCGCAGGCGAGGGAGGGAGGGTAGGGAGCAATGCAGGGAGACATAGGATGAGACCGTGCTGAGACATGTGACGCAGATGCGGGAGAGCGGGGTGACCTAAGCGGTGGTGCCACAGAAGCGACGGGTGAGTGACCGACCAACACGAGCAGGCCGCAGCGACCTGGGTAGAAGCAGGACGCATGGAGGATGCACCCACCTGGGGGGAAGCAGTGTCCAGCGTAAACAGGCCAGGCACTTGGTCTCAGGGGAACGTCGCAAGGGGGGCACCTGGGGCAGCCTCGGTACAGACAGTGTACCGCTCGTGACCAGGGAACGTAGTGGTGACGCCAAGGTCCTGAAAACAGCTGACACCAACTAGGTTCCTGGAAAACGAACGGATGTGCAGGCCCGTAAGAGAAACCGAGGGAACCGCTGGACATGGAAGGGTAGTGTAGCTACAGGCAACGACAGGACCAGAGGAGGGGTCAGCAAGGGCGACAGCGGCAAGCGCTACAAGCGGCGTGATTGTGGCATGGTCGAAGAAGAAGTAGGAAGACGCACCAGAGTCAAGCGTAAAGGACAGCGAAGCAGAAGCTGCTGCCGGAGGAGGAGCGAGCGTGGAGCCTATGCTAGACAAGGCAGAAGGTCCTACGCCACCATGGCCACCACCTCCAGAGGCTCCTGGCCAACCTGACGGGAGGCGGGCTCACGACTGCTGCTGCTGCGGCTGCGGCTGCTTCTTCTCCTGGGCACCAGCCCTGATCCCCTCGTTCGACCCATTGTCCCTACCACCACCATCACCACCACCACTCCCAGCACCCCCGACACCACACTCCCCCTTGGGGCCACGACGGCCCCGACGCGAGCGCAGCTGCGGGGACGCCGCAATTGTGGTCTCAGCAGCAGGGGCGGTCGCAGCGACCGCGGCTGAAACGTCAGCGTACGTGCACTGGGAGAGCGCACAGCCCTGAAAGATAGGGACTGCCGCGACACAGCTTGACTGAGCGATAGTGCGCTGGCGAGTTTCTATCTCAGACAGGGCGGTGACAAAGGTAGTTAGGTTGAGGTAACCGGGGTGCTGGCTAAGGAAGTGGTCGCAAGCAGTGGCTAAGCGGTCCGGAAGGCGGATAGCGATGAGGTATTGTGTAGCGTAGAACGGCGGGGGGAAGGTAGTGAGCTGGGCATCAGTGCTAGTAGCGCGGTAGCTAGCCTCTAGTGCATGGAGGTTAATGGCTAGGTCAGCGATAGTGGGGAAATCGGCAAGATCAGGGAACAGCATGGGGAGGATCAGGCGGCCAGCAGAAGCGGAGGGAGGCGTGGAGTAGCGCGCAATGACTGCATCTAAGAAATCCTGGGCATTCGCGACAGCAATGAAGCGCGGACGCTCAGACAGGGAAAGAGCATGACTAATGGCTAGCTGCGCTACGTCATCGCGGGAATCCCAGACAGCGCGAGCAAGCGCAACAGCAGAAAAGGCCTCACGCTGAGCAGTAGTGGGGTCAGCAGGGGGGGCGAGGAAGCAAGCCATCAACATGCACAGCCAGGGAGTGCCCATCCTGGTGCTGACCTATGAGGTGACGGCGGAGATCAACAAGCCAGGCGGCAAAGGCGATCGCGTGCCCCTCCGCGTCCAGGCGGAGTACAGCGTCCGCCATCGTGCGACCTCAGCGACACAGCTCCAGGACAGCACGGCAGCACAACGACACAGCGGCACAGTGGCACAGCTTCTCAGTGGCACGGCGGCTCAGCGACACAGCTACACAGCGGCACGGCGGCGCGGCAGCAGAACTCCCGGGCAGGAAGACTGAGCGGAGATGACAGGGCCAGCGGTGCATAGAAGGACCGACTGGGGCTCACGGGGCCGGCAGAGCGCGGCGAGCCGGCAGAGCGCAAAGAAGGTCGGCGATGGGCCGGCGAGGCGCAAGGGGCCGGTGGGGCGTGATGGGCCGGCGGGGCGCTAAGGGCCAGCGGGGCGCTAGGGCCGGGCGGGGTGCGGAAGGGACCAGCGGGGCGCGAGGGCCGGTTGAGGCACGGGGGGCTGGCGGGGCGCGTAAGGGACCAGCGGGGCTCAAGGGGCCGGCAAGGTGCTAAGGGACCAGCAGGGTCGGCGGGGCGCTAAGGGCCGACGGGCACGCGAGGGACCGGCGGGGCGCTAAGGACTAGCGGGGCGCTAAGGGCCGGTGGGGCGCAGGAGGGACCAGCCGGGCGTGAGGGCCGGGCAGGGGCGTGAGGGGCCGACGGGGCGCTTAAGGGACCAGCGGGGCGCACGAGGGGTCGGCGGGGTGCTAAGGGCCGGTGGGGCGCGTAGGGGACCAGCGGGGCGCAAAGGACCGACGGGCGTGTAAGGGACCAGTGGGGTGCTAAGGGCTGACAGGGCGCGTAGGGGACCAGCGGGGCGCAAGGGACCGGTGGGGCACAGGGGGACCAGTGGGCATGAAGGCCGGGAAGGGCGCGAGGGGCGCAAAGGGACCAGCGGGCGCGAGAGGGGTCGTCAGGGCACTAAGGGCCGGCGGGGCGCTAGGAACTAGTGGGGCGCGCTAAGGGAATGGTGGGGCGGTAGGCTAGGGCGAGGGCGGAAGCGGGTGGGCGGACCTAACCTACTATGATACCATGTTAGAATAGCAGAATGACTAGAACTGACGGATACAGAGGAACATATGGCTGGGTGTTGTACTCTCTAAGAGCACGAGCCCTTCTAGCCTATAACTATACATATGCAAATATGTATAAGTTGACACATTACTCGACTCCTATCCGGAGATTATCATAACAATCACGAGCTGACGACACCTGGAGCGGAGCTACATTATATTGCGGTATTCACGACCATTGGGATTGCCGTCGTCACGAAAGAGAAGGCCTGGAAAACAAGGGACAAGCTTCAAACTATAGTAGCAGTCCTTGGAAGGAACCCAGCGACTTGCCATTCATCTCCTCCCTCCGCTCCACCCGCTCAAACAACCTCCTCTCCTCCTCCCTCTTCCTCTCCCTCTCCTCCTGCTCCTTCCTCCTCTCCTCCTCCCTCTCCCCCTCCTTCTCCCCCTCCAACATCTTCTGCACCGACCCTTTCCACACGCGTGTCAACCCGCTCTTCTGAGTCGCCTCCACTGCAAACCTCAGCTTCTCCCTTCCCTCCCAGCACGCCCTGTGCTCCCTTTCCTCCCTTCGTTCCCCGCTCCTGCTGCTGGCCGTTGCCCTCTGCCCGTTCCCTCCTGCCCGCCCCTGCCTGCTGCTGCTGCTGCTGCGCCGCCTGCTGCTCGCCTGTCATGCCCTTGGTGACCTCGTCCGTGAAGGTGACAGGAAGCTCATCTGGCACACGGCACGCACGGGCGTCATGGGTTGGCGGGAGAGAGGGGAGGGCGAGGGAGAGGCAGACGGGGAGGAAGGGGAGGGATGGGAGGGATGGGAGGAAGGGGAGGAAAGGGGGACGCGAGAGGAGAGAGGCAAGAGGCGGACGGTGTGAAAGGGCCGGAAGGGTCACACAAGGCACTAATAGAGAGCCAAACTAGGGCTGGACGCACCATGGAAGCACCAAGGAAGCACCATGGAAGCACCGTGGAAGCACCATGGAAGCACCATGGAAGCACCATGTGCCTTACCGCGTGCAGGCACCTTACCGTGTGCAGGCGTCTTACCTTGTGCAGCGTGAGGCAGCGCGTGAACTTGCCAGCCGGCATGTGGCAGGCGAGGAACCAGGTGTGCGGCGTGTGAACTTTCAAGGCCTTACCGCGCTAGCTCTGCTGTGTAACGGTGGCTCACAGTGTGCAGCGTGAGACTCACAGAGTGCAGCGTGAGGTGGCGCGTGAACTTGTCAGCCGGCATGTAGCAGGCGAGCAGGAAGGCGTCGGGCCAGAAGGGCATGGAGGAGAGCGGCGCACACGACACTGCGCACACAGGGAAAGGGGGTGTGGCAGGAATGGGGTGCAAGGAGAGTAGGGCATGAGGGGCAAGGAGAGTAGGGCGTTGAAAGCATATGTGAGAGCAGAAGGGTGCTAACCGGTGATGAGGATGACGGAGGAGCAAGGGCGCATACCGGTGAGGAGGAAGGAAGAGCCCTCGCCAACCACAATCCTGTTGCCCTCCTTGATGTCATACTTGCGCACTGTGCCCGGCCGTATCTGGTGGGGAAAGGGAGGCGAAGGAATGAGTCGATTCATAATACAGGCAAGTCAAAGGGACCCAAAATACATTTTCCCAGTGCCTGCCTTGATGTCATGCTTGCGCAGTGTGCCGGGCCGTATCTGGAGAAACAGAGAGGGGGTGGGGAAGTGAGGGAGGAGAGCTTACAACGAAGCAGGTTACAGCGGGAGAAGCTTACAGCGGAGCAGCTTAAAGTGGAGCAGCTTAAAGCGGAGCAGCTTAAAGCGGAGCAGCTTATAGCGGAGATGCTTACAGCAGAGAAGCTTACAGCGGAGCAGCTTAAAGCGGAGCAATTACAGCAGAACAGCTACAGCAGAGCAGCTTACAGCGGAACAGCTAACAGCGGAGCGGCTTACAGCGGAGCAGCTTATAGCAGAGCAGCTTACAGCTGAACACCTTACAGCGGAACTCAGAACAGCTTACAGCGAAGCAGCTTAAAGCGGAGCAGCTTACAGCGGGAGAAAATTACAGCAAAGCAGCTTGAAGTGGAGCAGCTTAAAGCGGAGCAGCTTAAAGTGGAGCAGCTTATAGCGGGGATGCTTACAACGGAGAAGCTTACAGCGGAGCAGCTTAAAGCGGAGCAGTTTACAGCGGAACAGCTTACAGCAGAGCAGCTTACAGCGGAGCGGCTTATAGCGGAGCAGCTTATAGCAGAGCAGCTTACAGCGGAACACCTTACAGTGGAACTCGGAACAGCTTCCAGCGAAGCAGCTTAAAGCGGAGCAGCTTACAGCAGTTCAGCTTACAACGGAGTAGTTTATATCGGAGCAGCTTACAGCAGGGCAGCTAACAACAGAGCAGCCTACAACGGAGCAACTTACAACGGAGCAGCTCACAGCGGAGCAGCTCATAGCGGAGCAGTTTACAGCGGAGCAGCGTACAGCGGAGCAACTTACAGAGCAGCTTACAGTGAGCAGGACGTCCTTGGAGTAGTCGTTGTAGATCTTCACTCGCGTGCGCAGCTCCTTGCCCGGCTCGACTGGGGGAAAAAAAGGAAGGAAGGGGGGGGGGGGGAGGGAAAGGGGGGGGAGAGGAGGAGTGAAGGGGGGGATGGAGGGACGAGGAAAGGGAAAATATTTTGGGAAGCAAAAGGGAGAGAGAGAGAGAGAGAGAGAGAGAGAGAGAGAGAGAGAGAGAGAGAGAGAGAGAGAGAGAGAGAGAGAGAGAGAGAGAGAGAGAGAGAGAGAGAGAGAGAGAGAGAGAAAGAAAGAAAGAAAAACACTCATTTTCGTCATGACGGGCGAATGGCTGGTCAGGCGAATGGGAAACAACATGATATCGCCGGCTTACAGCTAAATGCCAAGGCCCCGGGCTCGATTCTCAGCCTGAGCAATGCCATTCGGAAATGGCTCCTTGGGAGTGTCGGGCGTTGGGGAGTGATGCGCTTCGGTGAGCGGTATTTAAGTGCACTTAGAAGAGCGGTACCTGAAAGCGGGTATTATCTAGTAAGCTCTGGCGCCAGCTGTATGTGTGGTTGGTATCGCTGAATGAAATTTAGAGACAAATAACCTCCAGGATAATGAATGTCGTAAGGAGCGGTTCTTTGCAACGTAAAATAACTCCGAATAACTCGGAACAGCTCAAAGCACCTTCAAGTGAGGCCTTTAAGGCGGAAACGAATAACCCGGTGCAACCCGGATCCCACACCAGCGATGCCATCATCTCAAGGAATGGACGCACGGAATGCTGCGGGCTCTCTCACACTGCGGGCTCTCTCTCACACGGTCTGGCAGACCAGACTTTGTGGGCTGAATGGGCTGTGCGGGCTGGAACGAAGAGGAGAAAGACGAGAGGAGGACGAATCTGACTCACGTACGCACGCAAGGATCTGAGGGGAGATGGAGGGGTGGGATGGGGAGCTAGGGGAGGGGAGGCGTGGATGCACTCTGGCAAGGGGAGAGCGAGAATAATGCGAGCCGGCATGGCTCCGCATTCCCTGTGGTGGGCAGAGCCCTCGCTAAGGCCTAGGAGATTCTGCTAGGAGAGGGAATACCCCCAGAATTACCCGTTAGCGGACGGAATCGTCGAAGAGCTACCCATTGTGCTTAGCTGAACTCTCATTTCAGCAGACGGAGTGGGAGAGCCGTGGGGGCCCCAAGGGTGTAGGCTTTCTTGCTCCCACACTGCAGGCGGGTCAGGAGGATAAGAAAGTTTCCCGCTAGCATGGCTTCGAAACACTACTCTCTCGAAGGGCGGAAGGATGGGGAAGTGGGGAGGAACACCACTAAGTGCACTACACGTGCACTTCTTCCGGAATCGTAGCCCGTAATGTCAAGGAATCAAAAGGAAATAAATCCGTTAGGCGGACGGAATCGGAAAACCATTACTCTGCAAAACAACGGAATCCAGCTAGACCCTTCCCGTAATGGCTCGACATGAAGGGTAACTACTCTATTAGCACCCGCCCTTGTGGTGGGTGACGAAAGTCAATCACTCGCTGACTTTGAGGCAATAATGCGGGTGGTGCTGTGCACAAGTGAGATTCGCATAGCTCTGGGTTTAGGAATAAGCATGCTGCCAGCCCTTATAGCCATAGCTTCTAAGTTCATTCTTCAAAGAGGAAAAATGTTTCCTTTTGACTAAAAACTATTCATGCGCTATTCCCCTTTGCGCCAGGTCACTTGCCCTCGGCTTTCATCTCTGAGATGTAGTACACCGTATTTACAAGCATCAGCCAAACACAAATTCATGTAAGAGCACATCTCTGGTTGACACAGTGTCACAGGATTGTTTTTCAAGGGTAGCTGCGTAAATTTGACATGGTTTTTCATGACACGCTCGCTGCTGGAGACGCGCCTTCATGTGGTTGACATCAATCCATGGTGATGGCCCGGGTGTGCAATAATATGTCCGATAGCATGGATCACAACAATCATGTGTGCAGCAACACATTCACATACACACTGATAAGGCCACTTAGCATCACGTGTCACCTTTAGGAGTCTAAAAGCCACCTTGCCCAAAAATCCTGCTGATCCGATCTGAGTGCTTGTGCTTCAAAACATCCTCACAGCGTCAGAAGCAGCACTGGGTAAACTGGACCCATGGAAGGCAGCAGCATGATTGGGCAAGTGGGGTGAGAGTATCTGCTGGGAAATAGGAAGATGTGTATGCCTGAGCCATAACCGGTCACCACAGTAACACAGTAACCGGACCTTCCTCTGTAACACAGTACCACCCAGAGATGGCGCCACTGTAGTTCGGGCGCCATCTACACCTCACAGGTCAGGCCACGAGAACCACCCTTCATCCCCTGTCACCCCCTCATCCTCCACCCCGCTCCCGAACCTCTCAGGCAGGGACGGCAACAAAAGAGGTTCGGCACCAAGGGTGGCCAGCGACAGGGCATCCAGCGAGGGTGGGAGGACGAGAGGTGGAGGTTCGGCAGCACGAACCGTGGTTGGGCGGCTGGCTGGGACGGTGGCCGGACGAGACAGTGAGGTTCGGGTAGCTGGTTCAGATGGCGAATTCCATGAAAATCCAGGAGGCGAGTGGTGGTTTGGGCAGAAAACATTTAGTGGCTGCCCGAAGACTTGCATGGAGGAATCTATGGAATCGACAAGAGCATTCGCCGACCAATCGGAGGTGGTGGTAGTGGCAGTGCCGCTGGTGGTGCCTGTGGTGGTAACCGTGTTACAATCGACAGCGCTGGTAACAGTGGTGGCAGTGGAGGCGTGGGAGTGAATCTGTGGTAACTCTAAGGTGAGGGGCTCAAAAGGCCGCTCAATCTGCTCAATCTGACCTGTCTGTTGGGTGGGGTTAGAGAAGAGCGGCGAGTGGGGCTGGGAGGTGGGTGGGTGAGAGAATATCCCAGGCGAGGGGATGGGAGGGGGGGGTTCAGTTGGTGTGGTGGCAGGGCCAGCAGCAGCAGGCGTTGGTGACAAAACGGGTGGGGCTTGGGTGGAGGGACGAGGGGCGGCGAGGAGAGATAGGGGCATTCGCAGGAGCGGAAGAGGGGAAGTGGAGGAGGGACGATTAGGTGGTGGTGGTGGTGATGGTAGTGCTGCTGCTCTCGAGGGGAGCCCAGCAGAAGTAGCGGGGACAGCAGAAGGAAGAGCCGGAGGGGCAGCAGAAGAGTCGTCGAGTCCCAACTCCCTTAGCGTGTCTTCCCACGTTGGCTCATGCTTCGAACCCACCCAAGTCATGCACGACGGTGCCTGGCTGTCAGGTTGATTCACAGGTGCCCCACGGCTCGTCGACTGCTGCCTCACATGCGCTGGATGTTGCTGCTGTAGCTGAAACTGAGCCTGAGCCTGAGCCGGTGGCTGTGGCTGTAACCGTGCCTGCAGCTGATGCTGGACCTGTGGCTGCGCCTGTGGTGGCTGCTGCTCTAACTGTGCGTGTGCTGGTGGCAGTAGCTGCCGCTGCACGTGTGGCTGTGCCTGCAGCGACTGCTGCACTATCTGCTGCATATCATCCACCCAACTACCTCTTTCCTCATCCCCTTGCTCCTCCTCCAGATCCATCCCTATCCCACCCCCACCACCCCCACCATCACCACCACTGCCGCTGCCATCACCACCATCACCACCACCACCACCACCATCACCACAGGCACCATCCAACATCCCACCAGGGGTCTCACCCTCACTCCCACCACCCTCAGCTCCAGCCCCAGCATCAAAATCCCCCCCCGCACCACCCTCCCCTCCTGCCTCCCCCCCTCCAGCCTCAGCTGCCGCCCGACTCGCCCGCATCAGAGAATCCGCAATCCCCCTCGGCACTGCCACTGGCTGCACGCTGTGGGGGAAGTTGAGCCTCGCCGCCCGGCCCTTGAGCAGCCGGGCGGCCATGTCGTACACGCGGGCAGCCTCCTCGGCGTTATCGTAGGAGCCGAGCCAGATGCGTGTGCGCGTGGTTGGCTCGCGGATCTCAGTCACCCACCGCCCCCACCGCCTCTGCCTCACCCCCCGATACCGCAGGCGGGGGGAGGGATGGGGGGGGAAGGAGCGGTGGGGGAGATGGTGGTGGGCGGAAGGAGCAGGGGGGGTGGCGGGGGGAGCTGCAGGGGAAGCGGTGAGGGGGGGAGAGAAGGGAGTGTGTGGGGGAGCGGAAGGTAGAGTGGCAGGGGGGGCAGAAGGTGGAAGGGTTGGGAGAGGAGTAGGGGGGAGGAGAGGAAGAGAGGTCTGCTGAGGATGAGATGCTGGGGTGAGTTGATTAAGAGGTTGGACTGGTGCCGCTCCTGCTGCTGCTGCTGCTGCTGCTGCTGCTGGTGTTGCTGCTGCTGCTGCTGCTGCTGCTGCTGGTGTTGTCGTTTCAGACAGCAGTGCGGATGGATCAGCATGGCCGAGTACGGGAGTATGTACTGGTGTGAGCGTGGGAGTGAGCGTGGGAGTGAGCGTGGGAGTGAGCGTGGGAGTGAGTGAGGGAGTGAGTGAGGGAGCACCCGCCACAGTGCCTCCGCCCATGGGAACGATAACAGCAGCTCGAGTGAGCACTCCTGCCACCATCGTCCACGCGTCCTGCTGCGCCTGCTGCACCTGCTGCGCCTCACAAGTCTCAGAGTGCATAGTGGCAATGCCGCCATCATCCTCAAGTCTAGAGTCGGTCCCTGCTCTCGCGTCAACGCTAGCGCTGGCTGGTGGCAGAGAAAACCCACCTGCTGCATCTACTGCTTCCGCCGCCACAGCTGTTGTCGCTGCTGTTGTCAGTGCTGCTGCTGCTGCTGCTGCTGCCGCCGCTGCTGCTGTTGTTATCACAGTTGATTCAGATTGATTCAAGGGCGCTGCGAGTTCGCCATCAATCCCGCTGCTACCACCGGAGAGGGTACCGCCCATCCCCCAACTCCCTCCACTCCCGCCACTCCCCCCACTCCCCCCACTTCCCCCACTTGAGCCTCCCCCAGCAAGTCCCCGAGCCGCAGGTTCAGCCTTGACGTTTCCCCCTTGACGTGCCGTCGTTCCCCTTCTCCCCCCTGCCCCCACGCCATTTAGCGACAAAGACCGTCGCGCCTTCCCCCCAACGCCCGCGGACGTGGCCGCCCCCGTGCACATCCCCGCGCCTTCCCCCTCTCCAGACCTTGTCGCAGCGGAAGCCGCTGCTAGCTGCCCCACTGCTGCTGCAGCGGCGGCGGCGGAGGCGTCAGCCTGCCCGCGCCGTTTCGACCCTCCGCCCGCCGCTGCTCTCAGCCGCGCGTGCGCGTGCGCCTTGGCCTTGGCTTCCGCGCGCTCCTTGCTCCGCCTGCTCAGAAAAATAGCGTCGATGCGCGCGAGAAGCGCGCTCGAGAGGGTCGCAGCGCGGGGCGGAAAATCTGGGGTCTGCGGGGAAGAAAGCGCCCTTCCGCCCGGAGACCTCCGCCTCGCCTCGTCCGCGCTTATGCCGGACGTAACAGCGGCGGTAGCTCGCTCATTCCATTTAGACGGACCGAGGAGCTCCAACGGTTGCCCGCCACGTGGCTGGCTCGACGGCGGAGGAACACTGAGTCCTGATAATTGAAATCCCGTGATTTTATTCGCGGCACCATCTTCCGACCACGCTCCCCCTACTCCAGCGCCCGGCGCTCCCCAAATTCCCCCCGCGCACGGGCTCTGGGCAGCAGAGCGGATTGTGCGGACCGTTGACGACGGCGAGCAAAGCGGGGAGCGATGGCTTTCTGTGAACCGGGGGAGTGGGGAAACTGGCGGGGAAAGCCCCTCGACCGCGCGCCGCTTGAACGGGTGCGCGGGAACTACCGCTATTGCGAGGGGAGGGGGGGACAGGGCTCCGGGGGAGTGAGGAATTCGCGGGCCCTGCGGAGAGAAGGCGGCGGGGGAACGCGGCGGGGGGAGGGAAAGGCGCGGGGGCGGGGATGCGGATGCGGGGGAGGGAGGTGGCAGCGGGTTGGCGGAAGGGGGGAGATCCAGGGAGGAAGACGGGCGGTGCTGCGGCTGACGTGGCATGTGAAGATTCTCAGATACTGTGCCAGATTCTGCCACGTGGAGCGTGACGACTGGCGAACGACGGGACGGCGACACGTGGCGATTCGGATGCGAGGGGGACGAGGCTTTGGGCTCGGGTACTACTACTGGCTCGACCTGGGTTTGAGATCGATTAAAGCAGGAGTACGGTAACGGATAAGTTAGCCGGAGGGACGATAGTGACGGTGGCCGTTTCAGTTGCCGGCTGGATGGGAAGCAACCGGCGAGATGCATTACTAAGCGACTCGGGCCAGCCTGGTCGACTAGTAAGTCCGATGTGAGGAACCGGCGAGCGAGAAAGGCGGCTAAGAACTAAGAAGAGCCTACCACGTGGAGACAGCCAAGAGATAACTTTTAAAAAACGGAGCTATGCGCCTCGGATTGGTCTGTACTCAAAATCTAAGGTATAGCGGAAAAGAGAGACGCAAGAACGGAAGTCAACGAGTAAGCATGCGAACTATGCGAGGTTTGCCGCAAAGTAGTGCTTGCGTCAAGCTGTCGGCTTCGCGGTTCCTTCTTGTTCAGCCCAAGCGGGCGGACAAGCACCCCCTGATTCCCCATCCCCCCCCCACACCCCCCCCAAGCCTCTGTGCTGCCCTTCACCCGCACTGCGCACTCCCTTGCACTCTCTTTGTCGGCTCGGAAGGGGGGGGGGGGGGGCTTGCGCAAGCCAAGCCTGGTCAGGGGGGAGGGGAAGGGAATTTCGGATGGACCTCGCCTGAAATTTTGGTCGGGCCGCACGCCGACGCATCGCATGTGCGCATTGACGAGGAGCGTCGGCATTTCCAGTCACACTCACCTTCCCCCCACCAACAGTCAAGCCTTTCCACTGTGTACAGTACCAAATGGCCAGCTTGGACCCGGCGATATTTTGTCTGTTACTGAATTCTGTTCGGCTGTTTTCGGTGACGGAGGGGCAGGCGATTTCGCAACCGATGCTTACGAAGGGTTACGACGATTTGAGCAGAGATGCTGACGTCGCCGGTTGTTTCGCGACGCTGACGACAAGCGTGTAAAGTAACCTACAACCCCACCGACAGCAATCTGAGCGGAGCGGGGAGGACCAGGCCTATTGCGCCGACACGTGGAAACAGGTGCGACTTTCCACGTAGCTGTCCTCACTACACACATCACACAGCACAGTGCAAACATCCTTATTCCGAGTATAAGATAATGACAGTATAAGCTTTTTACGAATTCCTGGTTTGGTATATAATCCCTACCCTCACTTGAGTACACATCGGTATCGGTATACTCACCAATCTCATGTCCCAACTACCGCGCGCCAATTGTCTTCCCATACTCCCCGACCACCCATATCGCCTGACAGCCTCAGCCAATCCCAACACTTCCCTCCATCAGTCACCCCTGGTCTTCGTGGTTGCCCGCTTCCCCCAACCATCAACCACCCTCCAAACCTGACCTCGATTATTCCTCGAACGAATCAAGAGCCTTGTTATGAAAATCTCCTCTGTTAGGTGCTGTTAAGTAAGGTTATTCGCGATTCAAAAAGTTTCTCTGATTTAGAGAACGGTTGAGCGAGGTGTAAGGAGTCCTCACCTTGAAACCTCATGCTCCCCACCTGCTTCTGTCCCTTTGTCCCAATAACCAGACCACTCACATTGGTTGTTTCGGCTAGCCTGCACTCCAATTTCGTGTTCGTGGCGAACCTGACCCCAGCTAGTTCCCGCAGACTATGGCGTCAGGGCTTAGCTCTTCGAAAATCACCGTGTAGCGTACAGGCTATTGTTCCAACTGACAAGCATTCACGTGAACAGCTTTAGAAACACCTGGTACAATAGCCTGGAACTGCTGAAAACGCAACTTTAGTCAGCGCTTCACCATCCGATTCTCGCATTCGCGAGGCGGATCGACCCACCACGATGGATCGGTCCGTGAGCGCGAGGCGGAAGGCGGAAGCGCCGATTCCGGCGGCGCAGGAAGGGTTCTGGTCGAGCTTCGTGAAGAGGGTGGCGGACTTCGTGCTCGAGGACGACATTCCGTCGTCGCGCGTCGCCACCCCGCGACAGCAGCAGTCGCCGACGCTCAATGCGGAGGTAAGCGAAGCGATAGCGTGGAGAGGGTGAGCCTCCAGCAGGGTAAGCGATAGCATGGAGAGGGTGAACCGCCAGCAGGGTAAGCGATAGCATGGAGAGGGTGAACCGTCAGCAGGGTAAGCGATAGCATGGAGAGGGTGAACCGCCAGCAGGGTAAGCGATAGCATGGAGAGGGTGAACCGCCAGCAGGGTAAGCGATAGCATGGAGTGGGTGAACCGCCAGCAGGGTACACGATAGCATGGAGAGGGTGAACCTGGAACTTTCGCAGTCAGCGATTTCAGAAGGCTGACCTCTCGATTCGTGAAGGAAAGTCTGTCAATACAAGTGGTGAGACTCGGTAATCCCAATGTTTCGTGTGCTTCGTGTGCGTCGTGTCACGCCAGGATCTTCTGGGGAAGCCAGTTGCCGCCAGCCATGTCTCCAGCAGCCCGCGGAAGGGCAGCGCCAAGCCAAGCCCCAAGACAAGCCCCTCGCAGACACAGCCTGGAGCCAGTGAACCCGCAGGAGGCTCAAAGCCGACGCAGGCACGGAACAATGGAACCGCGAGATCTTCTGCGGCTGCAGGTGCAACCAGATCAACGGCTGCAGGCGCAGCTGGATCAACGGCTGGATCAACGGCTGCAGGCGGAACTGGAGGAGCCAAGCGGGCTGCAGCGGGTTCGAAGGCAGCAGGTGCAGGAGGAGGCGGTGGAGGTGCAAAGGGTGGTGGTGGTGGTGGCGGTTTTGTTCAGGGAGGGCTGGACGCCATTATCAACTCGATCTCCCTGCTGGGTGACACTCTTGGCACTGCTCTCGACGTAAGCTGCCTCGTTTCTTGGCACATGCATCCACTATCCGTTCGAACCTGCCATGTCTTCGTCTCCTTTCTGCTTTGACTTGTATTCACGGCAACCATTTCCCTCGCCCTCACCCCCTCACGCCAACCCACCCCCCCTTCCCCCGCTCCTCCCCCCTCCCCCACTCTTCCTTCTCCCCCCCCGGATCGCAGGAAGGCATTGGCAAAGTGGTACAGGTCGCTGTGGAGGATCACCCTGCCCCCAGGAGAACCCCAGCTGCTGCCTCCAAGCCTGGGCCGTCTGGCAGGCTCTCAGTATCGAGAGCGCCGAGCCGAGAGGGACGGACCAGGCTCGTGCAAACGGGTGGGGCTGACAGGGCTTCTGGTTCTGCCACGGGGTCAGTAGGAGGAGCAACAGCAGCAGCAGCAGCAGAAACTTCAGAGGCAGCATCAAAAGCAGCAGCAGCAGCCACAACAGCAGTGCGTTCAGAAACAGGGGGGGTGTTTGCAGGGGAAGCAGCGTTACCCGCAGCTAGAGCAACAGCTGGGGTCACAGCGCGGGCCATGGCAACGGAAACAGGTGCAGTGACGCCCACAGCAGCAGCAGCAGCAGCAGCAGCAGCACCAGCAGCAGCACCAGCAGCAGCACCAGCAGCAGCAGCAGCAGCAGCAGCAGCACCAGCAGCAACAGCAGCAGCAGCAGCACCACCACCAGCACCACCAGCACCACCAGTAACGGTTCCAGACTTGGACTGGAGTAGTGGTATGGGTCAGGGGCCGGCTGGGAGCGTGCCTGTAGAGCAGCGGATGCAGGGGCGAGAGGGGGCGGCACAGCATGTGGGAGGTGATGCTTCGCTCATCTCTCCTGCTTCCCTCGTCTCCCCTAGTTCCCTTGCTTCTCCTGCATCTATCGCTGCACAACCCGACGAGCCCCTTGCGTCTCCTCCCCCTCAAGCTCCCGGTCACGTGTCCGCTGGCCCAGCTGCCACGTCAGCCGCCACATCAGGTGCTGCGCTGGCAGCTGAAGATGATCTGCTAGAGCGGCTGCCGAAGACGAGGGAGATGCTTGGAGGGGGAGAGGAGGGGATGAGGCGGGCGAGTGAAACGGCGGTGCACGTGCCCAAGGAGACCCAGCTAGTGGCGTCCAGAAATGTGAGTTGCTGAGGATTCAAAAATCTCTCACGGGGGGGGAGGGTGATGAGGGAGAGGGGAGGATGAGGCTGGGGGATGAAGTGGCAGTGCACGTCCCCAAGAAGACGCAGCTAGTAGCGTCAGCTAGTGGTTGAGACTGGCAGGAATGGCCGAGCAGTGCCGCAGAATCGCGCCAGAATTGCGTAGAACTGTGAGTTGTCCAGGATTGTTAGACCTGCAGAGATGTGATTCGTGCAGGTATGGTTTTGCCGACATGTTAGACCTTGCCCATCCCCGCTCCTACAGGTGGCAACGGCACCTGATGCGCGTTGCCTTGCTACATTACGATCTCATGCCCATCCCCCCAGGTGCCAACAGCCATGGCCATGCGAGCAAAGCAGCTGCAGGCGGACCTTGCCCACATAACCCTTGCCCACATATCCCTTGCCTATATATCCCTTGCCCACACATCCCTTGCCCACATATCCCTTGCCCACATATTCCTTGCCCACATATCCCTTGCCCACACATCCCTTGCCCACACATCCCTTGCCCTCACATCCCTTGCCCACACATCCCTTGCCCACACATCCTTTGCCCACATATCCCTTGCCCACACATCCCTTGCCCACATAACCCTTGCCCACATAACCCTTGCCCACATATCCCTTGCCCACATATCCGTTGCCCACACACCCCTTGCCCTCACATCCCTTGCCCACACATCCCTTGCCCACACATCCCTTGCCCACACATCCCTTGCCCACACATCCCTTGCCCACACATCCCTTGCCCACATATCCCTTGCCCACATGTCCGTTGCCCACATATCGCTTTCCCACGCATCCCTTGGCAGCGAGGATTCAAATTTCTCTCACGAGGGGGGGGGGGGAAGGGGAGGGGATGAGGCTGGGGAATGAAGTGTCGATGCGCACACCCCTTGCTATGTCTCGCCCATCCCATGCCCACTCATGCAGGTGGCAACGGCTATGGCCATGCGAGCAAAGCAGCTGCAGGCGGCCTGATGCACATACTCCTTGCCATGTCTTGCCCAACCCATGCCTGCTCATGCAGGTGGCAACGGCCATGGCCATGCGAGCAAAGCAGCTGCAAGCGGACCTCAAGGCAGCAAGGCGAGACGCGATGGATGCTCGAGAGAGGTGCAGAGCGGCAGAGGAGGAGAATGAGCGGCTCAGAGCGGCGCTGGCTGCTGCAGAGGCGGAGAGGGGGCGAGGGAAGGGGGATGAAGGTGGAGGGGAGGGGGAGATGGAGGGAGAGGGAGGGGTGCACACGCATCACCATCATCACCACTCCGAACTGGAGGACATGGTGAGAGGCTGGAATGTGTGTGGTGTTTTCTAGGGTCCTTGGGCTGCACACTGCCAGTGGTGCATGCCTTCTCATGCGGTTTTTTTACACCAAACTTCCTTAGCTCTCCCTTCTGTTTTTCCTGCCAGCCCCCTCAGCTGCAACCACAGGTGGACGTGGTACTTCAAGTGTAAGTGCAATGCAAGTAGTGAGAGGGAAGGCAGGCAGCAGTGCAGGGGAGAGCAAGAACAACATGCGATAACCCTCCTCCCTCCCTTCCCCTGATGTTCTCTCTCCCAATGCATCAGCAGCTGGACGTGCTTCTCCAGGAGACGCAGCTGGTGAAGGGCAAGGCGGCGGTGGACCGGGAGAACGACATTCTATAACCCTCCTTCTCTCCCTTCTGCTCATGTCCCCCCCCCCTGGGCCCTGACCTTGCTCCCAACAGCTGCACCAGCAGCTGGACGTGTTACTACAGGAGAAGGCGCAGCTGGTGAAGAGCAAGGCGGCGGGGGAGCGGGAGAACGACATGCTGCACCAGCTGCTGGTGTACTACGAGCACATGTACCTCCGGGACACCGGCATGGCGGGGGGGTATGCTGTGCTCATGGATGGCCATGGGCGCATCGCGTTCAAGGATGGACATGTGGAGGATGGGCATGGTACCGTGGAGGATGGGCATGGCACTGTGGAGGATGGGCACTTGCAACCGGTGGATGCCTGCCTTATTCCTGACTCTGCTGCGGATGCTCCTGTTACTGGTGCTGCCGATGCTGCTGCGGATGCTCCTATTCTTGGTGCTGCCGGTGCTGCTGTGGATGCCCCTGTTACTGGTGCTGCTGGTGCTGCTGCTGATTCTCCTGCTACTGGTGCTGCTGTTGCGGATGAAGCTGTCTCTGGTGCTGATATCACTGCTGACAATAGTGTTGGCACTGCTGCTTCTGGCGCTACCAATGATGTATGCAATTCAGGTGTTGGTGGTGCTGCCACTGCTTGTGCGAATGGGGAGTCTAGAACTGAGCTTCTTGGGGATGGGGAGGGTGAGAGCAGATCCCATGCTAGTGAGGAGGCAGAGGGGCACTCTGACGGGTGGCAGGAGGAGAAAAATGGGGGGGGGCAGAAGAAGACTGGCGATGACCATGAAGAGGTGTCGGCTTTGCAGCAGCGGGTGGCAGATTCATGCTCCTCAGAGGAGCTTACGGCGGATGGAAGGGCTTGTTGTGAAGAGGCTAAGGTGGTAGATGCAAGTGGTGATGCGGCGAAGGCAAATGGCGCAGTCTCCGAGGGATTGAAAGATGAGAGAAGAGGTGCAGAGAATGGGTGTGCAGGGAAATCTATTGACGACCGAATTGCTTCCAATATTTATGCTGGTAGCTGAGGCATGGGGTTTGCTATATATTAGATGGTAGTATTTGATTTGCCTGACAAAAGTACTGTACGAAGAACAATGGTAGGCCCCACCGCAGGAAATGCTCAATCCGGGAGGAAGGCTAGGCATATGGATTTGACAATGTATGTACGGAGTTGGCTTTGTAATCACTAAAATTGAATTGAATAGGAGAGGTCGAATTAAAAAATATTTGTAGAACTTTGCGTTGTTTGTCAAATCATACATATGTTTATATTAAATCATATATTGAGTTATATAATTGTTAGGCTTGGTAGGTTACCGAACTTAACTGTAGAGGGTACAATCCCCTCTTTCTATTCCAACACACTTTTCTCTCCTCAAATTTTCTCCTTCCTAAACATCACGCCACTCCATGGCTCCTTCTAGCTAAACCTCATGCCTTTCCTAGCTTCTTACTAAGCTAGCCTTCTAACATGGTATCAGAGCAGGAGGTCCTCCCTGCTGGACTGCCTCCTCACGCTTCCGCCGCATACTCCTCACCCTTGTTCGCTCGTGCGGCCATGGCGGCCGCGTTTTGCTGCAGTGGCGACGTCGTGATGCCGATGGCGGCGTCGTGATGCCGCTGGCCGCGCCGTGCCGCGGCCGTCTCGACGCGCTGCCGTGGTGTCGGGCCGTCGTGCTGCCGTCGCAGCGTCGACGTCCCGCCGCTGCGTCGACGCCGCTCTGTGACGGCGTCGTCGGGCTGCAGCCGGCCGCGCGACGCCTGTGGCGCCGCTAGACCGGCCGCCCGCATGCCAGCCTGTGGCGCCCCTCCCCCCCCTTCCCTCCTCCTTCCCCTGTGTCCTCTTCCTTTCCGCAGAAGACGGCTGACTCCCGCCGGCCGTCCCACCATCGCGGGGCCTGGCTACGTCACCGAGAGGTGCGGGCGCCGCCGCCGCCGCCGCTGTTGTCGAAGCCGCCACCGTCGTCGCTGTCGCCGCTTGCGTCGGGGCCACGCAGCCGCACGCCGCCGCTGTCGACACTGCCGCCGCTGCCGCCGTCGCCGCCGCAGCCCCTGCGGTCAACGTCGCCGCCTCACGCGCCGAGGGGTCGACCAAGCTAGTGTCGCTGTCACTGTGGCTGGAATGGGGGTGCTAGATTAGGGGGTGTGGGGGTGTGTGTGGGCTTGTGACTACCAAGCCTAGGGGGTGTGTTAAATTATATATTGAGTTATATAATTGTTAGGCTTAGTAGGTTACCGAACATTACTGTAGAGGGTACAATCCCCTCCTTGTATGTCTCTCTCTTTCTATTCCAACACACTTTTCTCATCTCAACTTTTCTCCTTCCTAAACCTCACGCCACTCCATGGCTCCTCCTAGCTAAACCTCATGCCTTTCCTAGCTTCGTACTAAGCTAGCCTTCTAACAGTTTATACCGTAATCCCCCGGATATAACACCTATCAAAATTAAGCACCCACTGGTGTTATATCCGGGGGGGGTGTTCTATTGAAGAATCTGCAATTATATACCCTCTTTTTAAGGGTTCCAGGAGAGCACCCCCCCTTACCATTTTAGCCCTTGCAACTCTTGGAACAAATACTGTTTTTTTCATGCGATTTCATGGTGAGCACGACCATTACGCAAAAGTTCAACTTTACCGAGAAACGTGGCGGGGTTCTCCGGTACTGAAAATGACGGGGTGAAACAAAAAAATGCCTGGAAAAGCGTAGTGGGCCGACAAATTTCGTTTCATTTGTGCGAGACTTGTTCTGACTGGTTGACGAGCCTCACGATTTTCGCCTAGCCTGTTGCGAGAATCGCCAACACCCCAATATCGCTTCTCCAACCTGACACACCCCTGATATTCAGGAGCAAGTGCGTAATCTGGGGGTATTTCGCACCTCGAGAAAACGTACGCCTTTTCAGCTGGAACTTGGATGGCTGAAATCGCCATGAAACACTGATTCCAATGCACATCTAAAAAAAATTGTCCTCAAATATAACACCAGGGTGCTATAGCCTAAACACGAAATAGAGCACCCAACCCCCTGATTTTGCATGAATTTTGTACTATACCCGGGGTGTTATATCCGGGGGATTACGGTATGTAGAAGTTATAGGCTAGATAGGCTTGTGTTCTTAGATGGTACATCTCCAACCCTATATCTTCCCAGTACTCTCTTGTTTCTAATTCATTCTAGTATTCTGACATGGTATCAGAGTATGTTAGGTCTGCCCACCCGCTTCCGCCCCTCGCCCTAGCCTACCGTGCCCCGCCGGCCCCTCAAGCCCAGCTGGCCCCTAGCGCGCTGTCACGGCCCTTCGCGCCGAGCCGGCCTCCCGCGCCTAGCCGGCCCCTTGCGCCTAGCCGGCCCCTCTCGCCTAGCTGGCCCCTCGTGCCTAGCCGGCCCCTCGCGCCTAGCCGACCCCGCTCGCCTAGCCAGCCCCTCGCGCCTAGCCGGCCCCTCTCGCCTAGCCGGCCCCTCGCGCCTAGCCGACCCCTCTCGCCTAGCCGGCCCCTCGCGCCTAGCCGGCCCCTCTCGCCTAGCCGGCCCCTCTCGCCCAGCCAGCCCCGCGCACGCCGTGGCGGCCCCTTGCGCCGTGCCGGCCCCTCGCGCTAGCCGGCCCCTCTCGCGCACTGCCGACCCCTCGCGCCTAGCCCGCCCCTCACGTACTTGCCAGCCCCTCTATACGCGCCGGCCCCTCCCGCACCTGCCCAGCCTCTCGCACACCTCGTCGGCCCCTCGTGCGCCTCGGCCTCTTGAGCGTCCGCTGGCTCCTCAAGTGCCCATCGGCCCTCCCGCGCCCCTGGGCCCCAGCACTCCGCCGGCCCCTTGCGCCCTGCAGGCTCTGCGTGCCTCGGGCCCTGCGCGCCTCGGCCCCTCCTCGGCCTTCCGCCCGGTCTCCATGCCAGAGAGTCCTGCCGCCACGCCGCTGTACCACCGCGCCGCTGAGTACCTGTGCCGATGTGCCGCCGTGTCCCTGTGCCGCCATGTCCCTGTGCCGCTATGTCCCTGTGCCGTTGAGGTTGCACGATGGCGGACGCCATACTTCGCCTGGACGCGGAGGGACACGCAATCGACTTCGTGGCGTGGCTCGTCGATCTCTGCCGGCACTTGACAGGTCAGAGCTAGGATGGGCACTCCTTGGCTATGCATGTTGATCGCTTGCTTCCCCGGCCCCCCGCGCCTAATCTGCTCCCTGCTGACCCCACCACTGCTGAGAGTGAGACCTTTGGTGCTGCTCAGTCGCTCGCTCTGTCTGGGATTCTCGCGATGCTGTAGTGCAGCTTGCCATAAGCCATGCGCTTCCCCTGTGTGAGCGTCCTCGCTTCACTGCTGTAGCGAATGCCAAAGACTTCCTAGATGCAGTAGTTGCGCGCTACTCCACACCTGCCTCCGCCTCCGCTGATCGCTTGATCCTCCCCATGCTATTCCCTGATCTTTCCCCTTTCCCTACTGTCGCTGATCTCGCCACTCACCTCCGTGCACTAGAGACTAGCTACCGTAATGCTAGCACTGCCGGCCAGCTTATTGCTTTCCCCCCACCGTTCTGCGCTACCCTATATCTTATTGTCATGCGCCTGCCTGACTGCTTAGCCACCGCCCGAGACCACTTCCTTAGCCAGCACCCTGGCGACCTCACCCAAACTTCCTTTGTCACTGCCCTCTCTGCGATAGAGACTCGCCAGTGCACTATCGCTCAGTCGAGCGGTGTTGCGGCAGTCCCTATCTTTCAGGGTTGTGCTCCCTCCCTGTGCACGTACGCTGACGTTTCCGCCGCGGTCGCTACGGCTGCCCCTGCCATTGAGACCCCAGCTGCGGCCTTCCCGCAACAGCGACAGCGTCCGGGCCGCTGCGGCCTCAAGGGAGGGCGTGGTGGTGGCGGGGGCAATGGTTCTGACGAGGAGGCTAGGGCAGGTGTCTACGAGCAGATGCAGCAGCAGCAGTCGCCGTAGCAGCAGCAGCAGCAGCAGTCGTGGGCCCGCCTCCCGCCGGGGTGGCCAGGAGCCCCTGGAGGTGGTGGCCGCGGTGGCGGCCCCCGCAACTCGGCGTCTATCGGCAGCTTCGGTGCTGTGAGCTGCCGGTACCAGCTCCAGACCGGGCCCCTTCGTGGCACTGTGTGCCGCCGCCCGCACCCCACTGCCTGATGCCTCCGCCGCCTCGACGGCCTCTTCAGTCGCCGCTTTGGCCCGGCCTCGGACCTCCCCGACTGGCCTAGCATGCTGCGTCACGGTGTGCCTGTGTTTGACTTAGACATGGATCATATTAGTTCTGCCTTGCATTCTCTGTATAATGACGCTTCTAGTGTGTCCGAATCTTATAATAGGTGTTCTCTAGCTTAGGCATAGCACCTGTGTGTAGTACTGACTCCCCTGGTGCGTCAAGTGTAGTACCGTTTGCTTTGTCTAGCCTATGCTCTACACTTGCTCCTCCTTCGTCTGCCGCCACTGCTTCGCTGTCTTTCACGCTCGATTCCGGTGCGTCTGCCTGCTTCTTCCGCGACCACGTCACCCTCACGCCGCTCGCTGCGCCTGCCGCTGACCCCTCTTCTGGTCCAGTCGTTGCTCGCAGCTACACTACCCTTCCCTGTCCAGCGATCCCCTCGGGTTCCCTTACAGGCCTGCACATCCCTTCGTTTCCAGGAACTTAGTTGGTGTCGGCATTCTTCGGGACCTCGGCGTCACCACTACGTTCCCTGGTCACGAGCAGAACGCTGTCTGTACCGAGGCCGCCTCAGGTTCCCCCCTTGCGACGTTCCCCCGGGACCCAGTGTCTGACTTGTTTACGCTGGACACTGCTTCCCCCCCGATTGGGGCGTCCTCCCTGGGCCCTGCGTCTACCCAGGTCGCCGCTGCTTGCTCGTGTCAATTGCGCACTCACCCGTCGCTTCTGTGGCACCACCGCCTAGGTCACCCCGCACTCCCGCGTCTGCGTTACATGTCCCAGCACAGTCTCGTCCTAGGTCTCCCTTCATCGCTTCCTGTCCTCCCTCCCTCCCCCGCGCCACCGTGCACGCCCTGCGTCGAGGGCCGGTTGCGCCATGCTCCTCACTCCTCCACGCTTCGCCCTGCCACCGCACCCCTCCCGACCCTGCACCTGGACGTTTGGGGCCCAGCCCCCGTCCCTGGACCGCGTCGCGAGCGCTACTTTCTCATGCTCGTTGACGACTATACGCGCTACACTACGGTCTTTCCCCTGGAGCGGAAGGCTGACGTGCCTGACGTTCTTATCCCGTGGGTCGTAGCTGCGCG